CCTACACGGGGACCACAAAAAGTGCTTATTCCTGTATTCGTGTTGGCAACAACGAATTGACATACCAAAATTGCCAACATGAATGCTTAAAAGTTTATACTTTTCTCATGAGGACTGTAAAAATCTGAAACAAATATTCTATAATAGTTGCCAAAATGTTTCTATAAGAATGCCAAAAAGCTCCGTAATTTTTACCGATGCGGTGTGGTAATAATTTTGGTAAAGTTGGCAATAAAATATGCTTTTACAATAAGCAATTAAAATTCGGTAATTTTTTCATGGCACCTTAGAACATAGTATACAAAACATTTATTCAGTTAAATTTACTTTTCAGTTTCGAAATTTTGCTAAACGTGTGGAAACAAGAACTATAATATTGAAACCAGAATTTACGAAAAACCATTACCATACGAATGGAAAAGTAAGCACATGAATGATTTAAATACCTTATATTGTGGTTTTATTAATCAGAATCATGAATCTTTTTTTTTACCAGAAATGTCATTTTAATGAATGGTAATTAATTAAATTAAGGTAATTTTAGCAGAATGTTTGTTCAGTTTGGAAAGAAATGAAATGTTAATAAAGAATAGTTCATAGCAACAAATTGCGTTCGCGATTAAAATATTATTAAATTGTATGAAGTTTCATACTAATTCATATTAATCATTACAACTTTTAAAATCGCTTCATTTTACTTTTTGCTCAATTAAAGGGCTCCCCCATTTTAAATTATTAATTTTTTTGCGTTTTTAATAGTTATTTTGTCAATATTTCAGCATTTCTCTTTCACTGTCTCCGCATCTCTATTATGTTTTACCACGTTTATATTAACTTGTCTTCGTGTATGTCTGTGCGGGTTGAATTTCGTAATCGATTTTAAACTAGCTTCCCGACTAGCTACAGACTTCAAATTTGGCACACAGTTCAGAATTAGATGACAATGCATGAAAAAGAAGAGAATGAAGACATACAAAGTGAAATAAAATTAAAATTAAAGAAAAATTATTATTTTCGCGATTGTCTTTTGTTGTCGATTCGATTATTTCAAATGAGTGTCACATGTCAGTTGAAAAGTTTTGTGTACAGTGAGTGAAAAAATTGAGATTTTGGAAGTGAGTACAAAAAAAATCAAAACAAAAAGTAATATTTTTAAAAACCACGTTTTTGTAGTGGAGAATAATAATTAAAAAATAATAATTTGAAAGACGAAAAACGTGGGGTGCATTAAATACATAACAGTACATATACACATATACATACACATTTTCTTACTCATACACGTGCTCAACCACATCCACATGCAGATGCATGTACACAAACATATTCCACATCCACATTCAGATACAATTACAGATATACATACACATATTCTCATGAGCACACTAATATGACATTACTGTTATGAATTTCATGCTCCCCACGTTTTTCGTTTTAAAAATTTTTTTTTTTTTAATTATTATTCTCCACTACGAAAAAGTAGTTTTGAAAAATATTATTTTTTATTTTGATTTTTTAATTATTACACTAGCTAAAAACAAGATTAAAAAATGAGGATATCAAGGAAGGATAAAAAAAAAAAAAAATTCCTACTACAATGACTAAATCGTAACGTTTAATACAAGGAAAAAGTTGGAAAAACTTTGCTAAAAAACTCCCCACCATAAATTTTGAAATAATTAGGATTTCGAAGAAAACTTAATCAGATTCATAAATAAAAATAATCCTTTCAGCATGTCTAATTTTAACTCTATTATTTTATTTCTTCGGCTGCGAAGCGGCCCGTGTGGTATATTTTACTTCAAGTTTAACAGTCTAACTAATTATTGAAAGTTATTTTTTTATTCCATTGTACTCCCTGTACATTTTCCCTAAACATTCTTAATTTTAAGTTTCTGATAATCGCAGTTTTTGTGTATCAATTCAACATGTAAAGTAGAAACATTCAACACCCAAAACAGTTGTTATGGCGCCTCTTGCGAAATGACAAAATAGGAAGATGTTATATCATAGCCAGATAAATCAAATAAGATAACATTACCGTTTAAAATATTCATTTCTAAGCAATTTGCTTTATTTTAAATCAGGAATACATAAACTATCATTAATAATGCATGCCGATAAGGGATTTATTTCTAATCATTATCGAACTATAAGAGAACTACGCATACATTTACGTCTGTTTTTTATTAAAGTCTTAGAAAACGCGTATTGTATTTCTCGCTGCATTAAAAATTGAAAAGCTTTGCGTTGTGCTTGAAACAAATCCTAATATAAAGCAGAACAGAAAGCCAGATATATTTTTTAGGAAAATTTCAATTTAAAGTAGAAAGGGCAACGTTAAATGAAAAGCACGGTATGTATTTTAAAGTGAATGTAAAATCAAATTTCAATACCGTTTTTTATTTTTTTTTTATTCTGTCCCAGTGGAATGAATATGTATTCTAAAATCTTTTTTTTTCTCAGTGAATATCTGTTTTTCTTATAAACATAAGAAATCTTTTGTTATGTGTCAAAAAAATTCCTCAGATGGAAGAAAAATGTGCTTTAGTTATGGAGATGTATGTTCGCCCACGTCTGCAGTTTAGTTTAAATCATTTCAGAAAACAGTTACTTTTCCTCCAAAAAAAATCACATATTTTAGATGTACTTCAAAAAAAAAACAGGTTTCGAAGATACGCTAAAAAAGCTTGATTGTTCAAAAGCAAGAACAATTAATTTTCTTTCGAAATTTCAATTTTACTGTTTTCTGAATTTTTTTAAAATACGTTTCCCTTATTTATTAAAAATTAATTTCTTAACTTTTTTTCACCTAAATTTATTTGAGTAGAAAAAAGCATTTTTTTACTATAAAATTTATTGTTTTTCATTTACTGGTTTTTATTTTGTTAGACATTTGAATAAACATTGGAAAAACTAGTTTTTTTCAATAATACTTTTTTTGCTTAATTCTGATTACATTGTCACTGATAGTGTTTTTCCTAAACTAGGTTCTAATTAAAATTCCGAAAAATATCGCCGACGAGCTTCTCACTCGGGAGGTAGCTCTAAATATGCATTTACGAAGATGGACATACAGCTCAAGAAGCATATTTAAAGAAATGGGAAGAGATCAAAATTAATATTTAAGAATATGATCACAGCTTAAAACTTTGCCAAATGAAAAAACTTGAGCCGTGGTGGGATAGCGTGTTCGTCTCCTAATGAGGTGAATCGGGTTTAATTCCAGTGTTGGTTGGTCGATACGAATTCCACACATGGCTCACACCAACCACAGTGCTGGCGAAAAATATTCTCAGTGGTAGACGAATCGTGAGTTAGAGTTTTTTCTCTCCATGCTAACCGTGGGAGAGTTTCGTGGGGGTTTTCCTCTCCCTATAACGCAAATGCGGTTATTTACACCATAAAGCATTCCACGAAGGTAAACTTCTCCCAATACTTGATCCTGGAATTCCCCTGTCTTCTGGATAGGGTTCAAAATCATAAGGCTACTGAGTTGAACATTCGTTGTCGTAAACTTAAAATTGGGTTGGCTGTTCAACGACGGTTATAAAATGCCTTTTCTTGCATAATTTTGATTTGCGTTCGAAATTTTACGATATTTCAGTTCGTCATGAATTATGCTTTGCACGCTTCCATAACTCATCGCTGTCATAGCACTGATTTCTCGATCGGCAATTAATTCGTCATCGTTATAAATAGGGTCACAAACTTGGTAATTTTTCTTTGCATTCGCGGTCGAAGACCTAGAAACAAGTACTTCTTTACGCCTTTTTTTTTTAAATAAATTGTGCCATTTGCATACTTCAGCCCTTTAACAGAATTCCATTGACAAACTATGCAGATAATCCTTGTAAACTTTCAATAGGTTTGGCATTTTCTAATGTTAAAAATTTAATTACTATGCGCTGTGAACTGTATTAGGAACGTTGCACTCACTCATGATTCAACGCACTAGAAGGAGAACTAAAAACCACAAAACAATTATTTTAACTCTAGATAAGTTCTATTGTTTCCATGACTGAGAGAATGAAAATCGTCTGCTACAATTAAAATAATCTCTCTTATACTAACGTCTCTTCGTACATACTAACTCCTCGTACATACTAACGGTCACTTCGCATTTTATGAAAATATCACTTTGAAGAAAAGTCATTGTGAAATTCAAAGATGAGCGATCGATTAAACAATAACAAAAAATTTTATTTCAGTTCATTAGGCTTACAACTGCCTTCAATGGATTCTTCGAACAAACTATTTTTTGTTTACATTATGAGAACGCCATCTAGTGGCATTCCGCGTCAGTCATAGTATTGTGAATATGAAAAGCATTTGTAATTTAATTTTTAACAAATCTTTCCTGGCGCAATGTTGCCAGTCTAGTAGCACATTTTCCGAAAATGTGACAAACCACTCAAAATGTAAAGCTTTTTATTTCTAAAGATCTACCCTTTCTTAGCAACCGCTGTCTGACAACATAGAGTTCAAATAATCATATTTATTAGGAATATATGATTTACGGTCGTTGTGTCTAACATGCTGCCGTCATAAATTTTCAGTCAAACTGTGCTGTAAAAAGTAAAAACAAATTCAACGTTGCTTTGTTTGGGATCATAAAGAATGGCTAAAATTAAGAATTATTCATCAATGTTCATTTACGCTAAGTGTCCGTTTTAAAGCTTAGATGATTCTATACAGCAAGATTACGATATGTATTGTTTAAAATTATACCTTTACTTCAAGATTAAGGCATTTTCATTGAGGGTTTCTTTTTTAATTTCCTTGACACAAAATTAGAAGTTTTGAAAAGCATCCATAATTAATTTTATCTGGGGTGGATTTTTTTTTTCTTCAGAATCACTGAAAAATTCGAGAAGTAAGTAATCGCAGAAGAAAAAATAAGATTGAAATTTACAAAACGAGCAGACTAAAAATGAGGGTATATTCTTGTTTAAAAAGTACGAATATACCTTTAGTGAAAATTTAAATTAATTACATACTTGTAATCCATCCATTGCATAACCGAAAAATGAATAGGCCTCCAAAACAAAACACTCTCCAGATTGTGGTCTGTACATTCCGAAAAAGAAATGCAATCCAAACAGTGGGACAAGTACCAGAGTAGCTCGGACAGCTTTCCTAAAAAGAAAAAGAAACAACCTTTAAATGCTGTGAACATATTGAATGATTAAGGTAGGCAGAAAGTTCCGCAATTGCCCCCTTACCAATGGATTTTTTGCAATCCTTATATATCCCGCAGTGGACTGATCGTTAAGACACGGTTCCCAGCAGATCACCGAAGTCAAGCATCACTGGCTACGGTCAGTGTGCGGGTGGGTGACCACTTGTATTAGTCTGCGTAGGGACGGAGGGTATGCGATATTGGTCCTCGTTAAACTGTTCTACCATAAAGTGCTCGACTTCGCGTGCAGGTCGTTGAGCTACCAAAGTGGGGGTTCCATTCCCTCTGCAGAGGATCAAAATTGTAATGGCATGTCCTCGAATCATCCTCAGGGATGTTTCCCAGACCGTCGCATATAGCACATTGTGCAGTTCTGTTGCGACGTAAATTAACTACAACAACAATCCTTTTATAACTTATTTTTTTATAACAGTCGTTGAACAGCCGACCCAATTTTTGGGCTAAGACAAGGGAGCTCCTGTATCAAGTATTGGGAGAAATTTGCCTTCTTGGAGGACTTTTTTGATGGAACGAAACCGCATTTGCGTTACATGGAGAGAAAGACCACTAGAACCTCTCAAGGTTTAGCCGGACAGTAAAGGGACTCTAACCCATGATCCATCTACCACTGAGGATATTTTACGTCAGCATTGTGTTCTGTGCGAGCCGCGGGCAGAATTCGAATTTATCAGCTGACGCTGGGATCGAACTCAGCGCTCTATCCTTTGAGCCACCGTTGCTCTTTATCACAATGTATCAGAAATCTTTATCACAAATGTATGCATATTAAAGTTCAAAAATCCTTATTTTGTCAAAGAAAATCAACCAAATAACCCGTAAAGAATGCGGTGTTAAAAATATCGAAACTAGTTTGATTACCTGATGGCACAAACAAAAGTCTTTTACCTATCCTTTTACTTCGTCAATCAAACATATTTTAATTTTTCTGTTTCTTTCTATTTACACTGTAAAAAATTGCTTACACCACTTTTGGTGTTGTAGTAAACAAAAATATTTTTTTAAAGTTCATGCAACTGCAATTTTCAGTGTCACGGTTTTATTTATTTATTTATTCATTTTTGCTTGTTTGCTTACTGACAACACACTATTTTGTAAGCATTAGTAATAATTTAATGACTTCATTGCAAAATTATTTCTTAAGAATAAGCACAGTTTTAGTAATGTGTTCCCACTAATTCATTTAAAAAAAATTTATTTTGTATTGTTAGCGCGCCTGACTGCGAAGCCAATGGCTGCGAGTTCGAATCCCGCTCTGAGCATGGATGCTTCTCTTTTTGTGTTGTCCTCTGTTGTGTGTGATGTGTGAATGTGGCCCACCCTATGAACGGGTTTGTGGCAGTGTGGCGTGGGTAATGTTGTTCGCCTCAGTGACTTTGGTTCACAGGTGCCCACTGGGTAACGTAAAATGAGTAACAATTCTGGCTTCTTCTAAGGCGAAGAATAAAGTTAGTGCTCGCCATTTGGAAGAGAAAAAAAACCAGTTCGGTACTTAAAAATATATTTAGTTTACCACGAGACCTATAACTGTATCTATAACTATAAACCAATATTTTTCATTGTGCAGAAATTACTCGTTATATTCATTGGCAATCATTAATGTGTAGGTATTTTTTTTAAACTTCATTCTCGAATACCGAAGGTTGAAAACCGTGAAAAGGTAGCAAAGAATACATTGCACAAAATAATAAACGGACCACCCTAAATAACTTTTGATCTAATGATCGGATTTTCCCGTTCTAGCAGTCAATCTTAATGGCGCGAAAAGGGGACCTGAAACATGGGAATTAATTAGTGCAGACGATATTTTAAATTGCGAAATCAGACACATACACTACTTTCTCTGAATGAATATACCTTTTTTTTCAAAAGAATCGGATTTGTGATCCCTAAAATAGGGGTTATACGTAAAAAGTAAAATTAACATTAAGGGGTCACTAGTCCAAATCCGCCGAAAAAAAGGTATGTTTATAAATAGAAAGTATTTTTGAGTCTGATTTCATTCTTGAAATATCGTCTGCACTAATTAATTAAAATATTTCAGGTCATATCTTCAAACAATTAAGATCAAAAGCTATTCAGGGTGCTCCGTATATTAGTTTTGCGCACTATACATTACAAGGAAGTCATTTTAAATCTGGAACTTTGAAACAACATGCTAATTAATGTAATGAATTTTTTGAAGAACAGATTTCAGATGGATGTAACATTAATTATATTTTACCTGAATTGGCTAGGTTCATTGGCATGAGTTGCTCGGAGCTTTGTCCATAAAACTCTTATTATATTTATTAAAAACATCAGATTCAACTGAAAAAAATTAAGGTAAAATTTTGTAACATTTTAATGTAAATAAAATATCATATCTCATTAACATACAAATACTCTAAAATCGCCTTTTTCTTTTCTTATGCAAACTATTTCTGAGGTAAAAAAGACATTTTTTTTAAATTAAATTTAAAATATTTTTTCTTTTAAAATTTTACTTTATTTTTAAGTTCAATTTTTACCACTTTGTTAAACAATTCCATGCTTCCATAAAAAAATTAAATTCATTTTTTACTAAGCTGGCAAATTTTTTTTCTGGTAATACAGAAAGTATATTTAAGCCGCGAAACAAAATAAAAAACGAACTAAAAATAATTACCTTTTGCATGCACCACTAAGCAACTTCTGAGGGACAATTTTAAAAGAAATTTCTTTTTATTAACAAATTAAAAACTGTGAAAAATGTAACTAACAGAAAAGCAGTGCAATCATGCTACGTAAACTTTTGCCACAGAAGACCCTTTTATGGTTTTTTTTTCTGAGACTCTAATTACAAGCAAAAATATATTCTAGAATTTTTTAATTATAGAAAACAGTCTTATAAGCATTAAAAAATATGTAAGATTATTGGAGTTATATTTGCACCAAAATAAAAAAAAAAGTAGTTTGAAATTGTTTTTCATTCATATTCAAAAATTAACCAATAAGTTATGTTGTCAATTAGAGAAATTTCAGTGGTGAATAACCGATTCTGTTAAATCTAATTAACTGCAAACAAGTGCAAATTTGAAAAAATATATTGTTTAGGAGTGAGTCGTAATTTAAACATTTTACTTTCAACGCAGTAAAAGACTTCAATGTTTCATGCTGCATTTCATAACCGTAAAATGTTAAACAGCTAACTATTATCTTTTTCACTTATTTTGAACAAAATTTATACAAAATAATGTAAGAACTACGAAAAATATGTTTTATAAAATAGCTGCTTAAAAAGGGTTAAATGCAAAAAAAAAAAAAAAAAAAAAAAAAAAAAAAAAAAAAAAAAAAAAAAAAAANACATATAAACCTTAAATTTATTCATCGATAAATTTAGAGTATCCAACAAGGCTTTCGTTGCTTTAGTGTTTTCTTTTTAAAACTTTTTTTGATAACTAACAGGTAAATCCGTGATTAATTGAGAGCCAGAATTTATTAAAAAAATGTATACAAATTTGCCAACGCAATATCAAAATTATAGATTTTTTTTTTAACATTTAAATCCATTATACGCAAAAGTAATGTTAAATAACCTTGCATTTTGAGAAATAGCTATTTCTTCAAAACATGAAAGCTTTTCATGATACACTCTCAGAAGTAAAACTCTCCATTTTGACGATTCAGCAATCCTTAAGCTGTATTCTATTAATTTTGAGAATTCATTTCGCCATGAAATCACGCGATTTGTGACAAAACGCTACACTTAAATATATGGAGAAAATGTTTCCTCATTTCGAAACCTCATCGCAGTGGATTGCGGGAGATTGTTAAATAGAATGATGAAACTATTAGAATGAAGACTAGACGATCGCAAACAGACCTGTATGACGGTCAAAGAGTTCGTATCGTACCGGAAAGATCCTAGGTTTGAAACCCGCTATGGGCATGTGTGTGTAATTTCCTATCTCTTCTTCATGTGTTGTTTTAGCGACATCGTTTGCCTACATGGTGTCGTGTTGAAGTGATTATTAGAAGAGTTAGGTATAGTAGAAGGCGTTTTTTTTTTTTTTAAAAATAAGAATGACGAAATATATATATTTTTATTTTTTCAGAAATGGTGTGGGTTATTTCGTCACTTACAAGGGAAACTAGGGAAGTGTGACTCGCCAATTTTAAAATAAACTAGTGGGATGTATGCCTTATGAGGAATAATTTTCGGGGGCAACATTCGTTTCGGCCCATAGAAGGTTCTGCGAGAGATAAAAAATAATTCAATATATAGAAAAATCGGTATTTTATTACTTCAATGCAGACTATTAGTTATTGTAATTATCTCATACTCCAATTAATTTTGTGGAACTTACTTTCGCGTATTATATAATGCATATTTATTCTCAAAATTGATTTTGAAAATTTTATATATCTGTAGTTTTTCAGAAAAACCTGTTAGGTTAATTTTAAAAAAAAATTGACATCAAATTTTTTTACTTTTTTTTTTCAAAAAATTTTCAAATTTTTTGGAGTATGTAATTGCAAATCAATCAATTAATTAATAATTAATTAATTAATATTTAATTAATAATTAATTAATTAATTTGCTAATTGATTTATTAGTTAGAAAATTAATTAATTAACCAATTAATTACAAATTAATTGGAGTATGAGACAATTACAATAACTAATAGTCTGCATTGAAGTAATAAAATATCGATTTTTCTACACATTGAATTATTTTTTATCTCTCACAGGACCTTCTATGGGCCGAAACGAATGTTGCCCCTTAAAATTATTTCTCATGAAGCATACATACCACTAGTTTATTTTAAAATTGGCGAGTCACACTTCCCTAGTTTCCCTTGTTAGACGAAAGTTTTGTTTAGAGCATACACCAGGAGACAGTTTCGTTAAAAACGAATAAAGTTTTGTGAAATTTGAGCATCTCATTTTTTACAATATACTTTCATCAAGTTACATGTACTATTTACAAAAACTTTTTTTTTTAACAAAACATTAGAGTTTTTGTAACGAAATTATTTTTAACAGAAGCTTTTGAAAACGAATTGAAAATTAAGTTTAATTTTTTATGTTTTCAGAGCTGATTGAGTTCACTAATTACGCTACTTTGATGTAGTTAATGTTTCCTTTGACGAGGAAAAAAAATGGAATGCTAGAAACTATATTGCTGAACAAACAATATGAAGAACAAGGCAGAAACGAACAAAAATTGAGGAAAAATAATTAATAACAATAGCTGGGTTGTGGAATCCGTTTTTTTCCTAAATAAAAATATTTGAGAGACGTTGAATTATTTAAAATTGAATGATTTAAAAAAAAATCACAATTTTAATTAACCATTCTTCAAGAAAAATGTAGAAAATCAATTAAACAAATCTGATATCAATTACTTTTATGACTCACAAAATACATACTTACAATTAAGCTGAGCAAGTTTAAGCTATGAGCTACCCATTCGTATGGCTTTACGGGTACAGCCCAGCATCTAGGAATTTGAAGAAAAGAAAATATTCAAAAAACCATACTGAAATTCTTTTCTTATTATGCAAATTACTTCAATTTAACAAATATATATTTTTTACTTACTGCTCATCTGCAAATGACCATCTTAATATTCCAACTGTTACAACTGGAAAGATTGGAAAAACTGAAGAAAAAAAATCATTAATTTATTAATCTCATATTTTAGACAATATTATAGTATTTAGACAATTTAATATATACAATACAACATAACAATTTCAATATTATGGTAACAAAATCGGCAGCAGTAAGTCCATCCAATTAACTGTAAAATTTACGTTAGGGAACATTTTTCACCTTCGCGGCTTATAAACCATTTACAACTAGTATGGTTAAAAAACCGTAAAAGAGAAATTTAACTGGACATCGAAGATAGTTTAGCTGATAGATAGATGGTGCTGTAAACTATGAGTGAATGAGAGTATCGCATTCTAATAGCCCAGGGCCACAAAATAAGGGGTACAAGATACTGATCCGAAAAAATCCTTATTACGAACTAAGAAGCAGTCAATTCATATTGGCGAAACGCCCCTAGCGACAAAAAATGACATTTTCAGTCATTAGCTGCTAAAAGATTTTCAATCCTTATGCTTTGCCCTACACTGTAAAAAATTCCAGATCAAATTACTGGCACCCTCAGTGCAGCATCCGTAAAATCCATTTCATCGTAGAGTCAATTTTCACCGCAAAATTTTATGTTAATTTTTACGGTAATATAATTTAGTGATCCAATGACAAATAAAAACAACTGATTTGAGGTAATTTTTACAACAATACTGATAAATTTTGCCTCGGCTGCATTAATACAATATATTAATAAAAAGTATTCTTTTTTGCGGTTGTAATAGTGGGAACTGATGATGAGATAATATATTTTCCATTTTTTACGGCTTTTCATTTTTTTTTAAATCTTTGAATATTTTTTATGAACATTTTGTTTATTAACAAAATTGTTTCATTTTAAAAATACATATATTTTTTCCTTGTTTTACCTGGTGTCATTTCTTCAAATATTTATAAGTAGCATTTTTCTTTTAACTTTAATAAAGATAATTGTGCTTGCTTATACACATTGAAAAATATTGTGTCTGTTTATTCTAATTTTTATGTCCGTTTTTTTTCTAATTCTTACATCTGTTCATTCCATTATTATATCTTTTTATTTCAATTATTATGTCTATTTATTCCAATTATTGTATCTTTATCAAAATGTTTATAAATTGCATTTTCCTCCACTTTTTTAAAGATAATTGTGCTTGCTCATACATCATCTGTTTTTTTTTTTTAAATTATTATATCTGTTTATTCTACTTTCTTATATCTGTTTTTCCCGTTATTATACCCTTTAATTGCAATTATTATGTCAGTACATTATAATTATTATATCTATATCTAAATATTTATGAGTTGCACTTTTATCACTTTCTAGTATCTCACAACAGAATTCTAAAAAGGGAAAATAGGCGTTCATGAATCAATTTCGCCCAAATTCATTTTAAATTCTAAATTCCTTTAAAAATCTCGATCACGATAAAAATGCAGTCATCGATATTACTTATAATTAGTTGTCCGAGCTAAATGAGATCGTATAACAGCTTGGAAGTTTAGTAATTTAAATTTATGATGGTATTTAGAACTATTTAGGAAATTATTTTTCTCGAACCATTAATAATTTCGAAACTCTACGGTTATCATTTATGTCAACTTCTTTTTCAGAAAAGCGTCATGTCTGCTCAAGGCCAAGAATTTATATTTTGAGATATATCAAAAGAATGATATATCGCTGCTTGTTATTAAATCGCCCCTTTGGGAGAAATTTATTCTGAAAGAGACAGTTTTTCCTTTCTTAAGTTGGGCGGTATTATAATATTATTATTGATTTTGAAATTTTAATATTATAATATCTCCTATCCACCTTATAATTTTATATAATTATTGATTTTGAAATGTATTGTTTTGAACTTCGAGTTACATATAATAAGTTATATCCAAGTTATATAGAACTAAATATATTTAAATCTAGCAGTAAAATAACTTTTGCCCTTATTGGGCCAGTATTCAAGATACTTGGCTCAATAAGGTTCAAATGCCGTTATTTTTCCGATATTGGCCCTATATAGAATTTTCTGATTCACCCGATATTTTACAGCCGCTTTTCAACCAATATAGGTCCTATATGGAATTATCAGATGCATCTGATATTTTATATCCATTATTTAGCCAATATAGGTTCTACGTTGGCCAATGTAGGCCCTATGCAGGATATTCTAGCACCAATATTGCAAAATATTGACATCCCAATATTGGTCCTTCGGTGCATGTTCTTATAAAACCCATATTGAGCCAATTTTAAGCCCAACTGGGGTCAAGGTATAGTTGTTGCTAGGGATCTTTATCTTCAATCAGTATAATTCTTTTAAACGGGAATGTTTAAATATGTTTTATCGCTTATTAAGTATCTATGGTTTAAGTCATAGGTTTCTAAATTTTTTGGATCACTGCCCACTTTATCAGACAAAAGAACTTCCATGACATCTTACAGAAAATAAAAATAAATAAAAAAATTTTATATTTTTGTTACGGTACACTTTTATAACTAAGCCGTTAAGTTATTTCAAATATACCTATTAATTCTTTTAAAATCAGAAACCTTTTTAAACAACTTTAATGAAATATTTCATGCAAATTTTTATTGTTTGTTTGCACACAAAAAATTTCAACAATTTTGCAGTTTGTTTAAATGTTTAGTTAAATCAGAATAATCATTCCAATACTTTAAAAAAAATGTAGGTAATTGAGTAAAATCCAGTCGAATATTTTAGGCAAAACTATACAATGGAGCCAAACAGCATAATTTTTAATCAACAGTTAAAAACTATATATCAAATACACGAATATTCTTTTAAGTCTTTTCATTAAAATAGCTCTTTTCTGTTTTTGCTAAAATATAATAAATTTAAAGTTATTTTATGTTTAGTTATTTTTGCAAACAAACTGAGACACAAATTTTTTTTAATCATATGTTCAAAAATATTAATGCTAATTTGTTTAAAATTAACTTTTTATTTTAATTCTCATTAAATAAGCTCTGGATACAATATGAAAATATTCGGTGTCAAATAGCTCCAACCTTCGAATGTCAACGTGTCAACGAATTAAACAAAATAAAAACCACATAAATTATTCAAATAAATTTATGAAATCGGAAAACTAAGTAAAAAAATTACAGTAAATATGGAATTAAAATTTTACTATTAACATGGAATTACGATTTCATAGTTAATTTGGGATTTAAATTTTACTGTTAGTAGAAACTTAACAGTTAATATGGAATGAAAATTTTACAGATCATTAGGGATTTAGATTTTACAGTTCATTCCAAAGTTATGATTTCCCAGTTAATATGAAATTAAGAGTTGAAAAATAATATGGAATTTATGTTTTACAGTTAATTTCGAATTAAGAACTTTGTATAGGGACATAGAGCTAAGAGCTTTATGAGAAAAATGAAACTAAGAAATTAGAGTTAAAAAATTTCAGAAGGAAAATGAAATTCGGGACTACTTTCTTGCTCAGTACTTGCAGAAGGAATATGAAATTGAGAATTGCATTTGAGAAATTGAATTGAGAATTTATAGGTGGAAAATAAAATTGAGAAATTTGAGTCTAGATAAGAAATTAGGAACTTAAAAATTGGCATAATGTATTAAATATTTCCAGATGGGTAATGGAATTCGGAACTTTAATTTGAAAATCAGCATTAAGAACTTTCAGTTAGAGTATGAAATTAAGAGCTTATAGCTGGGCAATCGAAATGAGAAAGTTTAGTGGAGAAATAAATGTTAGACTAACTAAAATGTGTATAACTAATTTAATAAATTAAATAAAAAATCCCAATATTTATTAAGAACTTCTTACAATATTTATGCAAAACAATAAAATCGAAATTTGAGTTTTTATGTAGAATTAAGAATTTACAGTTCAGATAGTGCATTAAGGATTTTATAGAGTAAATGGAATCAACTTATAGTTGGTATAAAAATTAAACTTTCAGTAAAAGTATTAAATTAAGAACTTACAGTTGGGCAATGGAAATGAAAACTTTTAATTAAAATAGAAAAATAAAGGTCTACCTAGTTTAACTTATTAAAATGATTATAATTAATTTTATAAATGAAATAAATAAATCACAATAACCATGAAGAATTTCTTACAATTTTTATTCAACTGAATAAAATCAAAATTTAAGTATGGATATAGAATTGAGCATTTATAGCTCGGATAGTGATGTAAGAATTTCCATTGGGGAAATGTAATTAACCTTCAGTTGGTATGGAAATTAAGAACTTTCAATTTGAAATCAATTGACAAAATGGGATAAGAAATGTTTGTAATCCAAAAATTTCTTATCGTTAAAATTAATTTGAAAAGGGTTAGACGGGCGCAAATGTCGCCAATTGTAAGCCAAAAGCGAGCCAAGACGCCAAGTGAAGCGAATAACAAAACAGTCAACACAATAACAGTCGAAAACGTTCAACTACAAACAAATATTTCTTGATAGTAAGAAAAACAAGTTCAACTATAAACAAATATTAATGATTTTCTTTTTTTTTTTAATGGCGGGCACTTGGGGTTCGTCCCATTGGCCACAGAAATGCCAGAACTGCTACTCTCTTCTCGTCACCCACTGGGCACCTGTGGCGAAGCCACGGCGGTAGAGCAGCGTCGCCCACGTCACACAACCACAAACCCGTTTACAGGGCGGGTCACATTCACGCAATCACACACAAAGGAGAAAGGACATAGAACACAGCAAGAGAAAGAAACATCCATGCCCTGAGCAGGATTCGAACCCGCGGCCAATGGCTCCGCAGTCAGACACGCTAACCACTCGGACACCTGGTCGGCATTAATGAATTGTAAACAAAGCAGTTTTCCCCAAAAAGAATGCTTATACTAATTGGTTTGCAAAAGTTAAGATGGAAGAAAGAAAGGAAAGCGTGCTTTGTTTTAAATTAATTAAGAGAATCGAGCACGTGGATCCAAAGCTAACATTCCGTTTATGGTTGTAAAAAAATTGGTGAAATTCTACATTATTTGGCAATTTTTCGCTTGAGCCCGGCTAACGAAAAAGTACCAAGAGTATCATTGCCTGAATAAATACATCTTAATAAATTGTTTTACGAAAATCATATTATACTTACTCCATCCAATGAAATAAAACATAAGAAGTGACTTCTGTTCAGCGAAAGCAGCTGCAATCAGTTTATGGAGATAAAATCCTTCACAAAACATCCACATGTATGTGCACATCCTAGAATACTTTGTACAGGTATACAGAATCCTGCAAGATACCTATTAAAAAAAAAGAAGCATGTATGTTTCACTCAGATCATTCTCATTATCTAATTAGAATGTTTTAAAATTATCTAAGACAACAGGCAATCCAATGAAATACGTTTTATCCCACATAGTAAAATAAGGTTTATTTTAACTCAGCAAAAACTTTTTAATGTAAATTTGAAAAGGTTTGTTATGCGGTTTACGTATAAAACTTCTGACCTTAAAACAAGAACTGCGACAATCTGTTCTATTCTACGCACATTACCCTAATCAAAAACCTTGGAAAACAACCCATATAAAAACCTTAACTGGAGGTTGACTTCAAGAGTGAAAAACATCCTTTAATAAAGCTAGTCTCAAGGCGAAAATAATCTTAAATCTAGATAATTATAAGGTTTCTTTTCGTAGTCTTGCATACTCAGCTAAAATCTACCTTGTCTTGAAATTTTAATGGACAATGCAATTGGGTATAATATGAAAAAAACACAACTACTTCGATTTAGTAGGAACAACATATGACGCAATGCTAATCGAATGGAATTTAGTTGTTGTTTATTTAGTTATTGTTATTAGTAGTTGTTGTTATTTGTTTTAGTTGTTGTTGTTTATTTAGTTGTATTTAGTTTCAATAACTTTTCTTTATAATGCAATAAAATCTGGCGAGCAGCTATTTAAACGATCGAACACTTCGTTTGTTTATTTGTGGCTTGAAGTTAGGCTCGCAGAAAATGCCGTTCATGGGTTAAATTTAGTAGGAACAACACAACCTGTGACGTAGGCTATATTATACCCAATTTGATCCTATCGCTAGTGTGACGTCAGCCAAAACATCATTATGAACCTAAGTGACAATGCTTTTTTAAGAAAGCTTTAAAAAATAATTTTAAATCTTTTTAGTATGAAAGGTTTGAAACTACAATATTTTTGGTTTATTGAAAAAAGGTTTTTAGTACAAATATTTTTGTAACAATAAAAAGAAAATTAAGAAGCAAGGTTGCCGTAAGGATACATGCTTTCTGGGATCTAACTAGAATATCTGTATTAAGTACAACGCTCAAAAAAATAAACGGACCCTGAATAACTTTTCATCTAATGATTAGACCTTCACGTTCTAGACCTCAATCTCAATGGTTCGAGGAAGTGGCGTCAAATATGCTAATTAATTAGTGACCCCGATATTTTAATTTACGAAATCAGACACGAAAGCGTACTTTCGCTGGATGAACATTAGGCGGATTTGGATTACGGATTCCCAAAATTTAAAGGTTATTCTCAATTTGGGAAATAAGGTTCCAATAATTTTGTCTAAAGAGTGGTCCCCTAAGTTTGGACTTCTTAGCGTTAATTTCACTTTTTGCACCTTTCGTACATATCTCGAGAACTGTTTAAGCGAATTGAAAAAGGAAATTATAAAACTCGTTGATACAAAACATACAAGGAATAACTTTTAATAAACATTTATTATTTAATTTAGTATTAGTCAAAAAATATTTAATTATAAGTTGCAAAATTTTTTTCATCATTTTAAAGAATGCGAATTTTAGAGAAATCAGTCAAATAGATTTAGAGAAATCGAATTTTAAAAACGTATTCGTTTTAAATACATTTTTGTGTCTAATTTTGTTATTTAAAATATCGTCAGTACTAACTAATTAGCACATATATGGTCATTTTCTCGAGCCATTAAGATTAAGTCCTAGAACGTGGTGATCCGATTATTAGATCAAAAGTTGCCAAGGGAGGTCCACTTTTTTTTCTTTTTCGTGTACTATACATTGTAATAAAATTCGGAACCTTGTTTTTCACATTAATATTTATTAAGTTATAGTGATTCAGCAAACTGTAATTATTACAGTTTATCAGAATTTTTGTTAAGTAAAATTTTACAATATTAAGCACTGGCACCCTTAGTGCTGATACTTCTTACTTTAATTTGATCCAAAATTGTTGCATTAAATAAAGCCTTCATTTATAATATTAGTCGTTTAATATTTTGCATATAAATCAAAAATGAAATTCATTTTATAATTTCCGTAAAAACCAAATAAAGCAACTATTTTAGTTGTGTTAGCTATAGTTATAGCCAAATTCAACGTAATCCTACAGTTGTTGCACATTTTAGCCAAATATAAACCACTTAATTAATAATTCGTAATTAATTGTTTTGTGATTTTTCCTTTTTCACAAATAATACATGAAAACTAAATAATAAAATATAATCCAAAATCAACAACAAAAATAAGTTTTCTTCTATTATATATTTTGGTGTAACAAACCCATTCACCTTCTTACATCCACCGATTAGCAGTTTCTTTTTACAAAAATTTAATGTCATTCAATAGAAAAAAAAGAGATATGCTTGAGAAAAAAAGGTATGATCAAAACTACCAGAATATTATAAAATTTAACATGTTTGGCTCTGGGAACATTAAAAACCTCGGTAATTTTAAACGAAACGCTTTGGTAATGATTTTGAAAAATTTAACAAGAAAATGTAGTTCTATAATGCGTGATAAAATTTGGTAAAAATAGTAATCTTATCATAAACATTAGAGCGTGGAATGCAAATCATTTACCAGATTTAATTTCCTTTTAAATTTTTTTTAAATTTGTGGTTATAAGTACTATAATTTTACGAACCAGAATTGGCGATAAACCGTTACCATATGAAAGGAAATGTTACCAAATGTTAATACTAAATATTTTTTTGCGCAGAATTATGGATTTCTTTACCTGAAATATCATTACTATACTGTACGAAAACTTTGCCAGATTTGTTTTTCGCCGTATAAGTTTTAATTAATTGCTATCAAATCAATAAATTAGTTATGGATAATTCGAGGTGTAAATAAATTTTTAATTACTAAGGTCAACTATTCGTAATTGGGTGATTAATTGATACTCGTGTGACGCATCGATTTTACTTTTAAAAAAAAACGTAGTAAACTTTAAACATCAATATTAAACCCATTATCTATCATTTTATTCAATTACTAGCAAATCAACAAAATAGCTTTGGAAAATGCAAGTTGAAGATAAATTTTTAATTAAGAAGTCAACAATTCGTAATTGGATAATTAATTGATACCCGGGTGATGCATCTATTTTACTTTGAACAAAAAAAGAACTCAGTAACTTGAAAAAACTATTTTAAAACCACTATCTATTGTTTTAATCAATTACTATCAAATCAATAAAATAGTTATGAATATTGCAAGATGTGGCTAAACTTTCATTTTTCTAAGTCAACAATTCGTAATTGGATGATTATTTGATACTCGAGAAGAACTTTTCAAACTTGTATAATATATTTTAGCTACCTCATCTAATAATAAACTACTATCAAACCAATAAAAGGCATATTAAACAATTGTAGACATTGCAAAATGTATCAAAAACTTATACTATTGAGTCAGTTAGTTACTCAATTGATACTCAAGTTATATAGCTCCAATATTATTTTACTTTTCACAAATACCTCAGTGGCCAACAAGCATTCATTTTAGCTTCATTAATAATTTTTGGCTAGATACTATTGAGACAAAAAAAATCGTTACCGTTTTCACAAGTATTAACTTAATTTATGCTATCAAAGCAATGATTCTCTTTTTAAACACTTAATTGATACTCAAGTCACATTTCTCAATTTTTTTATTAAATTGAAACAGTATTTCAACAGCATCAATAGTTAACCAATGATTTGGGTTATCAATTTCAGTCAAATAGTAATAAAACTGCTAAACAGACTTTGCACTTGGGGCCTTTAATAAAATTTCAACTACTAAGGCGAAATTTCCTATTTGGACTCTTAATAGGTACTCAAGTGCTTTGTTTGTTTTATATTTATCAAAAATTAAGTGACCTCGAAACGTTATTTTAACTACGTTAATAGTTAACCAATTTTTGAGTGTCAGTTTCAGTCAAATAACATAAAATCATTTAAACAGTCTGTAACCAACTTCTGAGGCAAAAACTTATATTTGGATTCTTAATTTATAGTCAAGTGATACTTCTCAATTTTTATAATTTAAGTTTTTTTAATAATTAACAAAAGTTAGCGACCTATAAACGTTATTTTAACTGCATCTTTAGTTAATCATTTTTGTATATATCCGTTCAGCATATTAAAGCAATTAAACAGACTTCGCAAGCCTTGCCTAAATTTTAACTAGGAAGACAATAATTCATATATGTATGCTTAATAGATACTTGAGTCACATGCTACTTTTAGTTAAAATAGTGACCTAAAAATTATTTTTTACATAAAAATCTTACTTTTAAAATATTATTTCAGCTTCTACTCGCGTTACGTTTTGCAAATATCATGAAAACCTAAACTCACATTTGTTTATGAAGTATATCTAAAAAATATTTGGAAAAAAAGGACTCTTTTTTACTATATTTTTATTCAATGTTTCTTTATTGACGAGAAAACTTTTTACGTATGTATTAATTTTACAAAAGTCTCATAAATAAATCGTAAATATTTTATAGCTTGTTGATTCACTTTTTTTTTACTAATCTTTCTTTGAGAAAACAAATCATAACTAGCTTTATCGGACCAAATGTCAGTGTTCTCAGCCTTTTAGATTCGAGTAAACAATTTTTGAACTTCCTGTTGCCAAGTCATTATATTTAAACATTACTTTCAAAAAAAAAATCTTGAGAATAAATAAACAAATAAAAAAACAAGAGCTCTCAAGTTTTATTTTGAAAACAATCTTGACGATTCATAGAAAATGTCGTGTTCTATGTTTATTTCTCCATGTTTATCTCAAAAAAGATCAAAAGAGGGAAGTATGGTAGGGCTTTTAAATTGAAATGGGGAGACCAGAAGACGATAGATTCTTTTCTAAGAAAAGCTGACACATTTACATGAAGATGGGTAAACTTAAAGATAATTATGTCCTTTTCAATTTTTATGGAAGCCATTACATAAACTTCTCGTAATGTTATTTATTTGATGTATTATTTAAATAGTGCCCATATTTCATAAAATTTAGGTGGAATTAAAAAAAAAATTAATTTTACTTTTTAGTTCATATCCACCTATGAAGCACTCGAGCTGTTTCAGCAATGCTTAATAAAAGTGGTATTTAGTCTAGATGTAGTAAAGCGGGAACTAGGTTAAACCATTTACAGCATCACGTGGTGGAAGATTGCTGATTCATCTCGAAAGGGGTATGAGATAGGGGAAAAAGAAAATTAAAAGGTAAAATACAGATCGCAAAGTAAACAAAGATATCACCCTATGTTCGAATTTTGACAAACTCATTGACAATCTAAATGGCTCAAAATAGAGATCACAAATATGCTAATTAGTTAATCAATTTACTATTAGTTAATGAAACACGTGCGTTTCTTTGAATGAACATACCGCTTAAGCAATGTAGTTGAACTTCGAACCAACGTCCAAATATGGATGGGGTAGCCACAATCTAATAATATTGTCACAGTTAGAGATGAGACTGGCTCAGCCCGAGTCCGGGCCTGACTCGGACTCGTAAACCGTTTTATTAGAGCAGTGGTGACTCAGGGGGTAGAGTATTCACCTTCCAATGAGGTGAATCGGGTTCGAATCCCAGCGATGACTGGGCGATACGAACTCCGCATCCGGCTCGCACCGACCACAGTGCTGACGTAAAATAACCTCAGTGGTATACGGATCATGGGTTGGCGTTACCTTGCCGTCAGACTAACCATCGGTTGTTTTCGTGGTTTTCCTCTCTACGTAACGTTAGTTCCATGTAGCTGGTTAGTTCCATCAAAAAGTCTTCCATGAAGGCAAATTTCTCGCAACACTTCATTCAGGAGTTCCCTTGTCTTCTGGATTAAGTCGAAATTACAAGGCTACGGAGTTGAACATTAGCAGTCGTAAACCAAAAAAAATTGAGTCGGCTGTTCAACAACGGTTATAAAAAAATAAGAACCTTTTTATTACTTTTAAACAAACATTTGGTTCGCTTATTAAGTATAGAAAACTTAAAATTTATAAGGTATAAAAATTTTTATTGATCTGCTGCTTCTGTTGTTTTGCTTTGTGAGTCGAACACTAATTGACAAAAGATTTTTATTCGGCTGAAGAGTTTGATTTTAATCTCTAATTTTTGTTATAGTCATCTTAGAGTTTCAGTATTTCTAGTTCCACTCATTCTCTTTCACAGGTTGGTGATCAAAAAGGTTTTAAGGTCTGAGTGACGAAACCACATTATTTGGCCTTTATAGTTTTGGCTTCTGAAATTTGAGCCATCTATTGTTAATGTCACTTTCTGAGCATTTACTCGTCATATCTTGAAATGTTTCAAAGATAACTAGTTATTAACTAGTTCATAACTAGTTATTAGAATGCTTTTATCTAAAAATGATTCCACGTAAAAAAAAATTTTTCAATACTTTTATTTATAATTTATAATTATTTCATTTAATAAGGTTCGAAAGAAATATTGAATTGTAAGGAACACAAATTTTTAAAACTTTGTAAATTTTTAAAGAAATCAGCTAAATTTTTTTCTGAGCCATAAAATTTCAAAAATAACATGTTTTTAAAATTCTATGTCTCAAAAACTATTCGTCCGATTTCGTTAAAAATTTTTATGTAGACATTTAAAATTACATACTTCAAACCGATATGAAAATCTGTAGATTTAATCAAAAAAATTCTCTGATCCTAATTGAATAAAAATATAAAAAAAATATCATTAAATTTTTTTTTAAAGTGAATTACCTAGAGATGAAAAAATTTTATAATAGTGAGCAAACACTTTGTAATTTCGCTTTGAAACTTCCTGAGATATGGCAAACTGCGTAGATAATGAAATTAACATGAAGAGCCACAACTTTCAATAGCTTTCCTGCCGAAACTATTCTGACCATATTTCTCAGATTGCACATACTTCCCGAATTTTAATAGTAAAAAGTCCTAATCTGTTAAAAAAAAGTTAAATTTATTCAAAGGAAGAACATTTTTGTATATGTTTCTGTAACTTAATAATAGTTAGCACTAACTATCCCCTTTTGGACCATGATCTCATATAGGTAGTCACGTGATTCTCCTTTCACGGCACGATGCATGAAACGACCTTTACTGACTCCAGTGGCCTAAGGTCACTCGGACATGATCTCAATTCCATAATCTCATATTAGCAGGTATGCACATACTCCCATAGCGTTCGGTAAGGTTTTCGGGGTTTTCCTCTCCATGTAACATAAACGCGGATTTGTTCCCTTTAAAAGTCCTCCAGGAAGACAAGCTTTTCTCAATGCTTGATCAAAGAGTTCTAGTGTCTTCGGGGTTGAGTTCAAAACTGCAAGGCTACGGAGTTGAACGCTAATAGGTTTTAACGCAGAATTTTGACGATTGTTCAACGCCTTTTATAAAATATAAAATTAAATAGTCGCTCAGCTTTCCAAAATCCTATCATTAGAACGCAAGCTATTTGAGGTGATATTTCTTTCATTTTGGACTCTGTACAGCAGCGATTTATAGCAGATTTGTGCATTACTGTTCTTGAAAAGAACGTCAAAAACACCGTTATTGATGTAACAGCGTAATTCTTTTAATTTAGAATAAGCAGTTCGTGCAAACTTTTTTAAACTCGTTTACCACTTTTTTTTAGACATTTTCTTTACAAAAATAGCTTCATCTCAACAAGACCCCGAGTTATTATCCTTTTCTTTTTCCAAGAAATCTCACAACTTTATTTTTAAGAAGCTTCCGACGATTTTTTTTTAAGAATAATTGTCAAAGTCGAGATTTTAGGTTTAGTGCAAGAATTTCATTTTGAGATTTACGTAAAACCACATAAGAGTAAAATAATTTATTTTTATTGCACTAACCAGATTTTTTTTTCTTTTAAGAATACTGGGAAAAGATCTCTAGGAATGTTTTAAGCGAAGCAGAATGTAAGTGTAAATTTCATAAGAAACGTAAAGAAGCGTCTCCAATAAAATATTTGTATTTGTGTTATTTTTCTTTTTTGAAAAGGTGGTAAAAGTCACGTTTGTTATTGTCAAAATAAAGCACTCACAAAGTTTTCTTCAAGAATTGTTCTTCTATTTCCTGAGTTTTCCAACTCGTCCAGCATGACAGTTGCCTTGAATGCTATTTCCAAAGCTGCATTTAACAAGAGGGCAATGAATAAGTTTTTATGCATGGTGATACGATGAACTTGAAGCTGCCTAGTAAAATAAAAAGAAGGAAAAAAACAGTGCATGAAAAAAGTTTATAAACAGCTTAAAAATATTAAAGTATAAAATATTGTGAATATGTTAATAAAATATTGTGAATATGTGAATTAGTTGAATCAATTTGAATAGGTTGAAAAAAGCAATAAGAAAGGTTGAATAGGTTGTAAAAATAATACGAAAAAAATAGTTGAATCAGTTTGAATAGGCTAAAAAACAATAAGATAAAAGTAGTTGAATCAGTTTGGTTGAAAAAAACAGGAAGAAAAAAGTAGTTGAATCAGCTTGAATCGACAGGAAAAAAAACAATTAGAAAAAAGAAGAAACAACTAAATCACATTGAATAGGTTGGTGAAAAAAAAATTCCCAAAATGGCTAATGATTTTTTAAAAAAAACGATTAAAAAAGGAATTAAAAAAGAGATTTTTGCACAATTTGTAGAATTTGCAATTTGCTCACCAAATTTCAAAATTAATTCCAAAGTTTTTCAATAAAAGTCACTGCTAAGTGAGAAAAACTATTAAACAATAGATATATTTTTTTTTCAAAAAATATAACAGCATCTGCAACAACATAGCGCAACAAATTGGGGGAATAACATTGTAAATGCAAAATAAAGCTGTGTCCAACATGGCAGTAGTTTTGAATGCAAATGTGTATTTAAAAATAAAAAAAAGAAAGAATAAATAATTATGCAAGTTGATGAAACTCGAAGCAACTTTGTAAAAGTAAAACAGCCTTTTCAAGATTGCATAAATAACGTAGTGCAAAAGTAAAATACTATGAATATGATTACAAACAAATTAGATTAGTTTTAAAAGCTTGTTAAAAATTACTGCTAGTCCTGAAAATGACTGATGATTTTAAAAACCTATTAAACAAGAATAAGAAGAGATAAAAGTACGTTTTTCTATATATATATATATATATATATATATATACAGAAACTTTAATGCTTTAG